GGGGGGCGGGGGGAAGTGTTGGAAGAAATGCAAGTTGCTTTGAGCTACCAAACATGGCAGGAGTTGAAGAAAGCACTACAGCAGCAAGTCATGGAGGGACTTTGGAGTATGGAAACAGCAACAGATTACTTCTCTGCTTTAACTCCTTTTCTCTGAAACCTCTGATGGCAGATACACACTAGCACGCATGCCTACTCCCTCTCCCTATCCTTCTCTGTATATATGTATTTTCTCTGTATATAATGTACACATAGCCTGCTTGAATATTAGGAAAGCCCAGCAGTCTCACAGTAATCCACAGGCTGTCAATACCGCAGAGGGAGATAAAGCATCTCCATGTGCTATATTTTCTTGGTTTGCCTGCTCCAGTGTGCCAGTCAGCCAGGGGAGTGGGAGTGCCAGAAAAAGACTTCGGCACAGGCATTGCTGCTTGAATGCACAGAGCACCTGAAGCTTGCTGCTCACAGGAGATGTGCTACGTGGCATCTCTTCCCACTTAACTTGTGGTTAACTCCTGTGAAAATTGAAAATAAGGCACAAATTAAGAGCAGTGACTGGAGCTGCCAGCTAGAAGGAAGGCTTGTCCACCTCCTGTGAAGCCTGAAGTCCAGGGGTAGCCCAGCAGAGATGGCTGTTGTACCTAGGATGCACCGCCTCTGTCCCCTGTGTTCCTCCTGTGTGTAGCAAAGGTGAGGAGGGGGCACACGGGAACTGAGCTGGCTGGAGCCCATGAATGCCCTTCCGGGTTTGCTAATCTCTTAGGGAGGCAGGGGTTGAAAAGGAGGGGGTCCTTGCCTGGCGCTCTTGGATCCTACGTTCATGCAAGTCTCCATTAGAGGGTGGTGTTGTCTGCAAATGTTCTGCACATGGCCCATCACCCAACTGCCAGCACCAGCTAGTTCTTGTCATGCTGACAGAGGGGCTTTTGCCACTGCCTCCCCACTGCCACTCAGAGAAAGAACAGTGTTGCTGTGCTGGAAAGACCCAGCAGCCTGGGAGCCTTCCAGAGACACTCATGAGTATAAGGTGTTGTGGTCTCTAAGCAGCAGCGAGGCGGACAAATCCCGAGAACAACCCGTCTTTGGTGCCCTGTAACATGGCTTAGCAGGTCACAATCACTTACTGTAAAGCAATGAAAGATGAAAAGCAAAAATCTGTGAGCTAGATATACCAAAATAACTACAAAAGAGAAATCTGCAGTTCACTGAAGTAAACATTTTCCTTCTTTCTCTACCCCCTTTGGAAAAAGCTGACTGAGCAGAGGAAGGCAAGTCAGGAGATCCAGCCTCTGCTGCCAATTCTGCCCATCATGTGGCTTGGGAACTCAGGCTCCCTCTCTGAGCCTTCCTTTCTCCAATCGTTACGGAACACAAACTGTTGCCCCACTAATACGATCTAGGAAACGGCAAAAAATCAGTTGTTGACATCTGTAGGGCACTACATCAATTCAATGCACTATTGTAAAAAGAGCCATGCTGCCTTTTCACTGTTTAAACTGCAACAGACCCCTCTGTTTTTATTACTTCTGTTTCCCTGTAGGTCTGTTTCTGCAATCACGTGTGCTTTTTCAAAGCACCTGTGCTGGGATGGGGGACAGTGAGCTGCTGGAGGCAGCCTCCCCAACCCTGGAACGGAGCCCAGGCTCCTACCTGTGCACAGGGACTAAACCCACGCTGCCTGCCTCACTCAGGGCGTAAGAGGCAGTGTGGCACGGACCAAGGAGCTCTGGACCCCAGCCCTCTCTTCTGCTCCATGCCCCAGGATCCGTGTCACCCTGTACAAAGCACTTGACTGCTCCACGGGCAGTTTCCCTGTCAAACAGTACCTGCTCTCGTGCACAATCGGGAAATCTGTAGCTAAGTCCTCAGACATGCAAAACACTTCCCAGAATTTTGTGATGTGCTGTAATATCGTGGAACAAGGGCTGAAACGTGCTTATTCCTGAAGTCATCTGGGGACAGATGACATGGGCAAAAGCAAGATGGAAAACTGTCTTTCAGCAGGTTTTCCACTGTAATACAGGATGGTATCTCTTTTTTTTCATGAAAAATTTCATTTCCACACCATAGGGGCCCCCAGGCTCCATGATATAACAGGTCCACAAGCTCAGTGCCAGCTCCGCTTCCTCTGCCAAACTTTCCACTGAATTCATCCTCTTGCCAAAGCAAATCGTTTAGACAGTTGTTTATTTTAAAAAGCCATTTTAGCAAGGAGAGGGAAAGCGGGACAGCAGCGCACACACTCTCTGCTGTGCTTGCCAACGAAATGTTAAACAGTGGCAGAAGAGCTCTGGAAATGGCAGGAACAGGGCTCTATGAGGAAGAGGAAAAACAGGCATGATAAAAATTTCCTGCTGTCCATGCTATCTGCTATTGCCGGAGAAGCAAATGCAGAAATGAATTATACCATGTAGCCATGCAACGTGAAGTGTCTTCCCCAGACCAGTAATCTTGAGTTTGTTGTTGTGAAGACTCCAATTCTGTACCAAGGCAGTTCAGATGAATGTCTGTTCTTTTTAGAAAGCAGATTAAAATCAGTTAATGGAAAGAGCTCGGACAGTTTCAGGCAGGGTTGAGCCCAGCTCTCCTTGTGCCTAAACACTCTTATAGGATTATCCCAGGAGTTTAGAAGTGACTGTGGCAGCCCCAAAATTGAGATACAGGTGCTATAAATATTTCTGATATGTTAGATGCCAACCTGCCCTGAAGCATCTGCAGTTCTAAGTGTACAATGGCTACATAATTTATTTACCAGATGGCTGTTTCTGACAGCAGGCTGTTGTGCCTGCCCATGCCCTTTGTAGCACACCTCATCTTGACTTCCTCAGTCTCCGTCCTGATCCTTTCATTATTCATTAGCCCCAGTGGCTGACAGAAAATACCGGTCCCCCAAAATGAATCACTGAAGTGCACAGCCTGTAACTGGCACTTGCACTACAGTACTTCTGTGTGCTTCATAGCATTCTGCCATTAATGACTATTTTCTTAAATGGATTTTGGCTTTCACTGCCTTGCTGTTCTTCAGAACAGTTACTATATGTACTAAGCTTATTAAACGCATGTGCAGAGTTTGAACCTGGTCTTCATGATGATAAACACGTTGCTTGAGAGGAGCTGTCATGAGAAAGACTGGGGATGGACACTTTTCCTACCCTCCTCGTCAGCCTTGCCCAGGCAGTGGCCTCCACCGTACCTCTATAGAGAGGATTAAGTTTGATATTCATCATAGGAATGGCAATACCTGACTAAGCAGACTTTGTTCTTCTAGGAAGATGCAAAATGTTTTAAAAACAGGTTTGTTATAAACCAAGCCCAAAGTAGAACAGTTATGAAGCAGTCTAACGATCTAAGTTCATACCTGTCAACAATAAAGTATGTTGTAAAGGTTCACATAGGGCAAATGTAGTATTTTTCAAGTAGGAAAAAAAAATTCACATCATGAGAGGTCACTGTTCCTCTGCCTGGGCATTTTCATTGCTTCCCCACAGGAAACACAGGGAAAAATTTTCACAAACAAAATTCAACTCCATTCTGTTTTTTCTGATGTAAAAAAGTCGATTTTTCATCTGTTCAAACACGTAAAAACTGGTAAAGGATTCCAGGGCAAAATTTCACGTTCTCCTGCCCCCACCTTCCAGTTTATGGGAAATGGCAGAAAACATTACCCCTTGATCTAATCTATATATTCCCTTATAAAGCGGTATTGAAAGTGAGAAAAACACAAAAAGAACAAGAACCAGCTGTGCTAGGGAGCCTGTTTAAAGAGTCGGTCTAAGTTTTCAATCAGTTCTTAACCAAGCCATCTGTTTACTGCATGAAGATAAGTACAGTTACAAGGCTTGCTCTGCAAACATGAATGCCTGCATCTGACAACCTGGCCCTTTAAATTTAAAATATCACTTCCTCCCCATGGCCGCTAACTGTAAATGGTCCCGTTTAAGTAAAAAGGCCAAAAAAAGTACTGCATGGGATTGTGAAAAATATCCTCTACAGAGAAGGTCAGCACCACACCTTGGTAATGGATTGTTTCCATAACTTAAAGGAATAATGAAATTACTTTTGCTAATACTGAAGTCATTTTAAAAAAAAAACAAAACCCAACAACCTTCTCAGGTTTGAAAAGATAATTTGTATTGTTTTAAATCCCAGCTGAGGAAACATGGCTCTGATTAACTCATGGCAATCAATTAGCCACATCTATATTTAGAAGGATATCCAACTCCAGCTGTTAAAACTAGGGCTTCATTATTATTAATAAATCTGTGAACCGGACCAATTCTTCCTAGGCTCATTAGGATATTTTTAAAAGTCCTCCCTCTCCCACTACCTTTTTTTTTGCAATTTGCTTTGCTTTGAGAAATCAAAAAAGAACAGGGTAATCAGATGTCTTGTTCCCTGTCTTCCTTTAATTGGCTGGTTATAGTAGGTTTCCATGGTAAGAAAAGAGCTTGTGATTCAACAAACAGAGAGCCCATTGAGGTTGGAAGATGTTATAGGCTTTGCAAAGCACATCTGGTTTGTTGAAAATTTCCAGCTTTTTCTTTTTTTTCTTTTTCTTTCTTTTTTAAGAAAAGAGGAAAAGGAGGAAAAAGAGAGGGGAAAAATAATATGAGGCAAACATGAGAAATAGCTCAGCATTGGTAAGGACAGACAGTTCCCTTTCAGAAGCCCAAAAGCAGCTTTTTGCCAGTGGAAGAGCCAAAGCCATAGGTTAAGCAGAAGTTGGAATGGCATGTGTTCAAACATAGTAAGGGTGTGTGAGGAGAAGGTAGAGAAACATTTCTTAAGCATGTTATAGTCATTAAAATAAAACATCTCTTTATGTCGAGTGCTTTATGTTGGCTATGTCTAAAAAAGCGTGCAACAACTTCCAGACATATTGGTCTGTCTGTAGGGAGATTCTCTAGTTATTTTTAAAGCAAAAGAACAGCATTTTTCCTGCAAGTGCCTGATCAAGAAAAGTTGCATTGCTGTGGTGGACGTGTACCACTTGCTGGTTTTTAACTCCTGACTGACCTTGCAAAGAATCTGCATTTGGCTTTTGTCCATCCTAGTGTGCCACAAGAAAGGACCACCACCATCCACAACACCAAGCCAAAAGCAGGTAGTCTAAGCCAAGGACAGAGTGAATTCGCTTCCAGAAATGTGCACCTAACTATAATGAAGTTGAAAAACTTACCCATTCATAAAACAGAAGCCTCCAAACCATAGAAAATTGAGCTTTTCTCAATAAATTTACTGGAGGCATGGAATGTAAAACCTTGGCTTTGTGATTATAAAGCCAGTATGGTGTGAATGTTGTTATGTTGGAAGAGGTTTGAATCTTTTCAAACAACATGACAACAATGAAAAATGCACGTTATTCTCCACAAAATTTCCTTACAACATTAACAAGTATTAAACTGCCCAGCTTTGCCTTCAGAGTGCCGTAATAACTACTGCCCCACTGGCATCTGCCAGGGCAGCTAGCTTTAGCTGACAGCCAGTAGCTCCTGGTGTTTGCAGCTGCAAGTCAGTATTACCAACATTATCTCCACAGCAAGGAAATACTTTTGAATTGCAGAATGACATTACTGCAGAGCAACTGGACGCAAGAGGAGTCTTACTGTTCAGATCCTCAGCCTGTATTTTGCCCGTCCTTCAAAATCTGAGGCCTACCAATCGAACGGCACAGGTTTCATTAATAATGCAACAGGTCCCTTAATGTTACAAGGACTGACACCAGCAGTGGAAATAATTCAATCCAAAAGAAATAGCGCATTTGCTTCATAAAGCCAAGCACTTTTAACATGCCAGCCAACAAGGGCAGATTTGCCATTACATATCGTTTACTTTAGAACTTGCTCTTCTCTAAACATTTTCATATGCTTATGATCTTTTCATATAAATTCTTCCTCATTCAGCTGAGAGACAGAGGGATTAGTGCCAGACTCCAATCGTCAGCAAAGAGCAAGCACCTCCTTAGTTGTACAAATCTGGTAATGGAGATGCAGACAGTGAAGGGACAAAATGATCACAGCAGCACCCGAAGAGTAACATGCACATGGTGCTGGCAATGTAGGAAGGACCCAAGAATGTCAGAGAAACCACACATGTTTGGATTTCTATCCTTGCAATGAAATACAAGCAGTAACAAAGAAGCATAAGTGGAAAAGATCAAGTATTCAGGGTTACCAAACTACCCAGAGCTGTGTTTTTAAAGGAAGGAAATGAAGCACAAATGTCCCCAGCTGAATGAGCAGAGTAGGATGAAGTCAGAAGCAGAAGGAAAAAGATATGAGGTCACTATCACTAATCACCAAAGGACATTTTGAAGACACTGCTTAAAAGACAGCCCCTTCAACACCATGGCATGGTGTGGTATCTGGTATCCTGGTACAGATGTTGCCATCGCAGTCCTATGCCACACATGGATAATGTTAAGGAAGATTAGCAAGAAGCGGGCAAAAGCATTGAACCTTCTTTTAATCCTAACATATATTCTAAATGGCTATAGACCAGATCAGGAAAAGTAAGAAACTTCAGCCGAAACTGCATTCAGTGTCTACTATAGTTTTTACTACAATCCCAGCATCCGAAATTGCTGCTTCCATTTTGATTCAGGCTTTTGACTGATCCAGTGAAACTCCAAACACTTCAAAAGGTATTCTTACCTTGTCTCTAGCCTCATTGAGAAGGTCTTCTAACTCTGAGAAGCTGAAACTGGCCACAGTGATGAAATCGCTCATGACGGGAACAAATCTATCCCCTGATTCCCGCATGCGTCTCTTCTGATAATCCAGTTCCTGAAAAAGAAGAAGAGATATAGATACGCAAACATCAAAGATTCCTCACTGACAAGGAAGGGAGCAGGGAAGCTCATCTATTTCACTCAGTGCAGAACATGCTCTGCTCCCAGTCCTCACACATTCATCCAGAGCTGTAACTCAGAAACCACTTTCTCACTAAGTCAAGGGTTTTGCCTTTTCAGCATGAGAGGGAAGGTTAAGGTGGGATGAAGGAAGGTCTTAGTTATGGTCCCCTTTATCCTCAAACAACAACCACTCCCAAGAAAGCCATCAACATGTTGAATTTCTAAAGCAACTTTATAATTTAAGTATCAAATACGTGAAATGCTGCATTTTTTTTCCTATGCAAAATGACAAATAATAGAGAACTCAGTCTGTGTAGCAAGTAAATTTGGAATTTTTAATAGTGAGTTTCCCTCCATCTTCTCTTCCCATGGTGATTCAGAAGGCTATATAGTTGGGGAAATGTGTACATGTGTGAATAATCTATATAGTTCCTAGCTCTAGATATGCCCTTTAGTTCTCTGAAAAGCACTAGGTTGGTAGCAAAAAGACATCAAAATTGGTTCTCCCACTGAAGAACAAGCAGAAAGATGTCAGGTGCAACATTTGCTAGTACCCTGCCAAAAAATAAGCATTAGCTTGGATGTCATAAAAGTCACAGAGCTATAAACTAGGGCTGTTGCAATAAGAAGATTTAGGGGGGGGGAGATAGACATAAAACCATATGAAACTAAGCTCTCTTTGTCCGCTACCTACCTACAGAAAAAAAAAAAAAAATTGTAATTCTTTCTTTCTGGCTCAAGTTTTTTAGTTTTAAGCCAAGATGACCCATGCTATCTCTTCCGTTACTCTATTCACCATGCTTGTGGCGTGGAAAGAGCTACAGAGCTCCTCAAAATGACTAGGTTAGAGTAAGACTGGCAGTCTCCCATGCCTGTGCTTGGCTTGTGTGCTGTTAATGGTCTCATGGGGACAATGAAGTCATGATCTGGGCCTCATCTTTATTCTCAGCTGAATAATCAGTGGTGATGATAAAGCCTTA